ACAGTTCAGCATCTAACTATTGCTTAAGAAATACCCTGTACCTTGAGTCGATACTGCCCACCTGCTTCAGTTACGAACGAATAAACGTAAATCGATTTTCATGCAGGACCACTAAAAGAATAAGACAAGTGTGTCTTTTATAAACTGTTGTGTTTGTTTGTGTTCATGCTGAGCACATAAAAACAAATCCATTTTTCTGACTGATAGGTTAACACAGGAAATATGTATTCGAACTCAGTCCACTTGTCCAACTTTATCAATACTTTCATGCTTTAGGTCGTGTATTCTTAACAGCAAAAATCTTTTAGATTTGATCTAAAAAAAATGGGTTCTCTATCTTTTTAAATCTTAGGGCCGCATTTACCTTTGCTTATCAACTCGTGAGCAGCACGGTTATAAATTAGAAAAATGTATTAACACTTCATGGTGACGTATTAAAAATGCTACTAGTTTACAATTACAAACCGGTTTAATGCTTTTCTTCAACAAAATTATTTATTAATGGGATATTTTACGTTGCTTTCCCTTGAGTAATATTTCAATGCTAAATTTAGTTCCTGTTATTTTTCATGTGCGAGACATGTCTTACTTTTTGATTTGACGTTTTTCATTAAGTTGTACTGTTATGCATGGTGATAGTTACTGTAAAATACTGACGATGTCAAAAAGTGTTTTCTTATATGAGACAAATTAACTATTTCTCCTCAAAAATAGTAACACAAAATTATAGATAATGTAGGCGAGCCGCAGAAAGTACATCAGCGGACCACGTACGGCATTTCATTTCCTACGTAAATATTTAATGTTAACACGTCAGTTTATGCGATTATCATATATTACAGGAAAGAGGAAAGGTAAATTTATACCTGTGATTAGATTAAGGACCACACCATAAAGACATGCGATAATGGAGGGGAAAACAGTGCCTTGTAAACACTCGACTGGAGACTGGTCTCTGCCAAGAATCAAATTGTCGTTGCCCACCCGTAGACTAGTCAGTATAAGTGACAGAACTACCCCAACTTGATTAACATTATTATTCTTAATAATTAGTAAATAAATAAAGAAGACAATTCTGAAAAATAAATATGCTCCAATGTAATTTACTGAGCCAATGTGGAAGGATCAGATGACACAATCAAGACTATTCGCTATCAAAAAGCCGAAATTTTCGAATGACGGAAACTTTCATTGTTTTGCCATATTTACGGTTCGTCAAAGAAGTGGTGTTTTGATTATTATGTGTAGAATATTGGGAAAAACCACGAGTCTTTCGCGGAAGGAAAATGCCAGATAAATGCTGTTTTGTTCAGAACGTCTGATAGTCCTATTGCCTTATCTTCAAAATCACTTCGGATATGACTAATTTTGATGACGTTTTTTTGAAATTTCTCAAAGGGGTACCCCTTTTAGAAATTTCAAAAAATGTCGAAATTTGTCGTTTTGGACGATTTCCGACGTTTTTTGATTTTTTAAAATTTCGACATTTTTTGAAATTTCTCAAAGATGTTAATTATAGTAATAATATTTTGATATTTCAATATTTAATTAAATATTTTATTGTGATTAGACGGTTAAAATAAACAATTGTAATCATCACAATATGACGCAACAATATCATCTCATGGGTGACTACAGTAAAAGTTATCAGATGATTTTCAGCACTCCTATTTTACTCGAAATTCAAATCGAATTATAAAAGTTGTCGTTTTAAAAATCTATTTTAAAATTTTGCTACCAACAAACATATTTTTCGTGTGATTTTCCCAAGTTCTTTCAGGAAAATGCAAGGATACTATCTTTCATATCGCGACCAGCAATCATACTTAATTTATGGTTTATATTAATCAAATTAACTGTGATAATCAAAGTGTGATACGAATTAAAATATTTATAGCTGACATTAACAACAAGTACTGTCATTGTTTAACGAAATTCATCACATAGCTGTCGCGTGAAAGGTAAATTAGCTGAAAATGATGTACTTTATATGTGTCAAGGCAATGCTTGACTGTTTCGCTAGGGGCGAACTTCATCCCTCGCATCAACTCCTGCAAGGGATGAGAACGAACATTGCGGAAATACAGCTCAGTCAGGTCATTCATTGGTCGCTGGGGTATCTATTCTAGTTTATTTAAAATGATCATCAAATCATTCAAAACTAATTAACTCCGAGGAGCGGAGTCCATCTCGAGACGATAACTGTCACTCAGCTGGACAAGAAGTACCCCGTATTTTATGGGACCCGAATGTGCAATATCGTGCTGACAAGATTCCGCCACTGCAAAATATTTTTACACAGAAAAACCGAGTCCACCCCTAACCTATTTCTATAAGAGACATTTGAATATTATATTCTCTATACCAGTGGGTTTTCATATTTTTTAAACTTAAAATTTGAATCCGCTTCTCATTTCTTACAGTTCTGAATAGTCACCAGATTCGAAATTGATCGAGTTAAGGAGATTTAAATGGACATTGCATGTGGTAAACCCTTAACATTTCCATTAAAAATTAATCATACCAACTCACCATGCAATTCGAATTTTACATACGTCATTTAACGAATGTAAGCCGTCCGTCTTAGGATAACATTGCATAGCATATACATTTAAACAACTGGTCGCAAATTCTTAACACAGAGGACGCAATTTTATAAGCGGTATAATACGTTACTGCTCTTAATGTCAACAGGAAAATGTGAATATCATATAACCTGCAGAGTGCTCCAGTTTTTGTCTGAAGTTGTAGGACCGTTGCACTGCGCACAGAGGGTAATATACCCTGAGTAAAGCAGAAGTAAGCACGTACCATGCAGCTTTCTCAAGATGGGTCTACACGGTGCCAGCGAACATACTATTTCAGTATTCGTGAATATAAAACGAGTTTGCGAGCAAGCACTCTCTTGCTCGCACCTGTTCGCCGAGGGAGCGGTGCACCGAAAGGAATTACTACCGCTCTCACTTCCCTTCACTTTTTCTACAAATATTTACGTTTTAAAGTTGTTTTCGCTTAACTCTCTGTTATACTCTAAGGAAAGGCACAGGCTGTCTAACAATACGGTGGTGTTGAGATTATTTTGACCCACAAGAAAACATGTAACAGGAGAGTGGAGAAAATTATATCAGGAGCTTCAAAAATAGTATACTACTCAAAATGCGATTAATATGATAATTTCAATGAGGCTGAGATGGGTTGGACATACTGCCACGAAGGGGGAAGAAAGCATACTGGATCTTAACCAAAAAAAATTTTGTCGACCTAGGTGATGATGGTTAGAAGAAATAAATTGTGAGGATGAGGACTTGATTTATATGGATTAGGACAGGATTCAGTGACGAGCTTTTGCAAAAATGGTATTAGATATTTTTATGGCGTAAATATCGTGTCACAAAAAACATTTACGAGGTCTACACATTATCTTTAATTACAAAACATAAACAAAAACTTAACGAGATTTGAATATTAATATTATAATAGTTTATACAAACATAAAAGCGACCTCACACAGGCCTATATACACACAACTTTAATTTTATGGTTTCATGTACAGATAATAATGGACTATATTTTAGTTTTATACCACACGTAAAAAGTCCAAGTTCCTTCATGAAATTAAAAAAACACAGTAAAGTAGCCGACAATTTTTAAAACCGTGGAATACTGTATTGTTCACGCCTCACTTAACAATGCACATCGGAAGGCTTTGTAGCTCCTTATATGTCAACGCTTTCACCGTGTTGCCTTAGCTCCATTATTGCGCAAAATGTCTACTAAACTTATCGATTGCGTTTGGTGCGCTTGTCCGTGCATCGGGGGCTCTCCACCCCTAATGAATAGGGGAAACCGCAGATGCTGGCTCTTGTTCCGAAGAAATCGTGTGAGAGTTTCGTATCTTTGTCTTACTGTTCCCACGACTGTGCGCGTGCGTGGTCTCCTCATGGCACTTCACACTTTTAACAACGATCTAATTACGTCGGAGGAACTAGCGATTCGGCATATTATCTTAACTTCATGTCTTTACAACTATGATTTATAATACGTCAACAGGAAAGCCCGGAATAGAATAGAATTTATTTACATTCTATAGATCTTTCATAGGCCCAAGCCGAGGATGTGGAACATGTCAGAGCACAGATACAATACTTGTTTCTAATACAAATATAAATTACATATTTATGACAGTAATTATCTAGAACATATCAGTTTCTGGTTTGTGTTGAAAATGTTAATTCATTCAGTGAAAACTTAGATACAATAAGGAAAAACTAAAAAAGGTTTATTATAGGCTGGTCTAGCAATAACATAGAAAATATCACAGAATGTCACTGCCATTCAGTTCAACTACATAAAAATGTATAAAACTATAATTTAATTTGGTTTTAAGTTTATGAAACTTGTTGTCTTTCATTATTAGAAAGACACAATGTAGGGGTGTTTTTAGTCCTAAAGAAAATATGTTCATCTAAGAGAATGGAAGTAACAAGAGACTGAATAAAATTACACAATGTAAAACCAAGTAATTTGTGCTCTTCGCCACATGTTATTAGAACAACCACACAAAGATGGGTGTGATGGGTGGGAATGTAGCATACACAGGAACAATGAGAAACATATACAAAATTTTAGTCAGAATACCCAATGAAAGGAAAAGCCCACTCAGAAGATACAGATGGGAAGATAATATTAAAATGCATTCCATGAAACATTGAGACTGAATTCATTTAACTCAGGACAGGAAACAGTAGCTGGCTTTTGTGCATGTGGCAATGATCTTTCATATTCCATGAAAGAGAGGGAATTCCTTGACCAGATCAGCAACTATTTCCTTCTCAAGGACTCTGTTCCATGGTGTTAGTTGATTAATTAGTTATCAAATAAACCTTATACAAAGCACAGTATATCCATGTCATACTAAAAGACCTTCTAAATTAACCATAAATGTTCAATGTAAATTAATTAGCTGAACAGTTATCTTACAGTAATGACATAACACATACCTTTAGTACAGGAACTGCTTAGTTAGTCTATCGAAGCAGAGAAATTCCTACATGATCCATTCTCATTCAGGATTTCTGCACAATTTGGAATTGAAATTCATTCCTTGATGCTGCAGTAAGCCTGCCAACAAAATGTATAAAGTGTATCAAACTATAGGCAAATGGATTAGTGCAGAGGCATGGAAGTGACAAATCTTCCTGAGTGCCTCATTTTCAATCTGATGTTAGTAAGATCCTTGTAGAGGAGAGATAGACTTTCTGGAGGCTCTTTGTCAATTGTGATAATGGCCACTTTTTTTTTTATTACTGATGCAACCATAAACTGTCAACAAACAGTACCAATCACATATAGTTTTACTCACAAGAAACAATCCATCCATTATTTTTTTCTATAAAAACAGACAAATAAAAAATTCTCTTGGAAGTTTATTTCTAATAATATTAAAGATGTGAATACCCTCTGACTTTTCTAAAGAATATACAGGTAGCCCTCGATTTACTGGCGCAAATGGAGGGCTACCTGTATTCCACAATTAGCATTCAATATGACACCAATTCTCTATTAAAGCAAATCTTCAAGCAGAGGTGAATAAAATAAATCAGAGCATTTTAGAGAAGATGCAGCTTACTACCGTTGTAGAAGCCAAAGGGTCCACAGTAGGTATTTCCAGTGTAGGGGAAGCAGTAGTAAATGAAAAACAGGTACTATGGAAAACATAAAATAGTAAAAAAAACATATCCCACTTTCATTGTCATATCAACATGGCAACATCACCATTTTTTACTACTGATGATAATGTAAAGAGTGTAACACCATAACAGTTCATTATAGGTAAAAATATTCAACACTTGAAATCAGAACCACATGTTTTGCAGCAACTTCACGCTCTACGTTTCTCTATTTTCTGCCAAATAACCGAGTTCTGTGGTCCCACAATTATGGAACACTCTGCAAAATGTTGCATGATAAAATAGAGGAGTGCAAACCATTCACCTGTGACGTTCAATCATATTTAGGTTAAATAAGTTATGAAACATCTTATATATACTCTAATATTAATACTGCAAATTTAAGTTCATCAAAGTAGAAAACAGACAGATGAGTACAATTTCAAATATTAATTAGGTTTCACAAATGCAAAGGTCTGAACTCAGAAATATTAAGGAGTTACACTAAGTCCACTGCCATACAGCACACATTATTATGATTATTTATACTAAATTACAATAACCTCTAAAAGGATTGAGTCTTTTCTAAACTCCAGGGATTCCACACCTTCATTCCCTATTTCATTAGGGCGCTGATAATTTTGATCACAGTAATGTATTATGCTTTAATTCCAGTATATAACTTCATGAATGGTTATAATACGTAACTACGATACGTTTGAATTTTCCACCGGCAAGAATACCGGAAGTTTATGGGCCATATCATAAAGGAATTTGCGTCACTGTTGATTATGGTGAGCGAAAATTGAACTATATTGCTCATAAGAAAATCTTTGACATTAACAAAATGTTTTCATTGTTTATTTAATACTGATGTGAAATTTTATCGAAGAAAGCTGAAAACCATTAATGTAACTAGTATGAGCTAAAAAGGTCAGTTTATGCAACTTTTTACCAAGTATTTGAGATACGCTCAAAACCCTATTTACAGTATACTTACGCGAGGTGTTGGAAACAGTGGCCAATTAAAATTGAAATTATTCAACTTTTTCTGAAAATTCTGGAATTTTAAATTTACGGAAAATCGAGTTACTCGTTCTCAAGTTGGTTCATGCACACGGTGAAAGACGATCATACGTCTCAGCACTGCATGAACAAATCTTCCTTACTCTCATCATGAAATAAGCCTAGGTTATTGTAACTCTGAACTGTACGTCAGGGCAGGAAATGAATCGCAGATGATCTAATAGTTGCAAATAACAGATGGAGCAGCTGACGATGACCTACTCGAGCTGAAGTATCGCTGTCCTGTGCTTTAATTAGTCTATGTATGCTTTTGTACCGAAACGTGTGTGTCATTTGTATTCGGGATGAAGAAAAAGGCAGGAATCCAAATAATAAAGCCGTTACATGGCATATGTGATAGCAAATGAGAAGTCGGATACCCCCATAAATTATCTGGACTGACGAGTTATTGATATTTGTCAGAGAAGACCATTAACTCCTAAATACTTCATCACTCATAAGCCGATTATGATCCGCACAGAAAATCTGTCGGTTATATTGACAGTATTTTTGAAAACATTTTTTTAAGACGCTGTTCAGCAAAAACCTTTTTGTACTAGATCGTGAGTCATTTACATTTCCTATTGCGCAACAAGGAAGTCTGGGACATCACGTCACATGGTGCAGACTGCCTATGCCGCAGGAAATGCCCATAATTGAGCATAATAGCAGAGACTTGTTGTCAACATGGAGGTGGTAGACAAAGAATGTCAGCTGCCAGAAGTACCTTCCGTTGTAGAAGATGCTGTTTTGATCAAGTACTTGAAAGAATGTATAGATATGACACCACTCCCGGACACAACTTTGAAGGAACTAATGGACAACAGTACTCAGTTCCCCAGGTATTTTCAGCTTTGAAACTGTGGGAATAGTAAGCGGAAACGTCCATAGAGGAGTATGGGGCCCCTCCTTAAGATTTCTAAATACACACGAAATAAATAAAGAAAGGAAAAGAAAGCCAGTAACTTGTAAGTTTAATATTACTGGGTCCAATGTATATATTTATTAAATAGAATATGCAAACGCCTGTTCTGGGATTGCAATGACATTAATAGTCTATATTGTAACATGCTGTATGTTACATATTTCCTTCTTGGCACTGTTCACAAAGTATTTCATACATCATAATGTCAATGAGTGGGAACCTCCCCACCCCTCCAATGCATTGGGACTGGTAAAACAACCCCACTTATAATGCTGTAAGGATAGCCCAAGTAAGAAGGATAACAAGCCATAAAGGATCAGAACCTTCTTAAGAACAAACAGTTTATATTTTATTTTCATATTTATAGTAATATATACCAAATTGTACTGTTCTTATGGTATATATTGTGATCATATTGATGTAATAAATACCATATAGCAGAGTGCATGAAGATCAGGAGATGACACAAAATTCATGAGCATCCTTCCATCTTTATGACTGGTATTTGCTCTAGGAATGTCTGTTATTAGGAATTATCAGTTTTTATTTCTCCCTACACTTACATGATCAAAAAATTAGCTTTGTCATGCTTGTACTCAGTAAGGGTTGGTATTGCTATAATACAAGAAATAGTATTACATTTTTGTCTTGTGTTTTTAAATTATCATGTCTTGTGGTTGTATTATTCTTCTTATACACACATGCACAAAACTAAAAAAGAATTGGTTGGGAAGTTGTATCTGTTCATATTTAAAGTGCTAATTCATTTGACTAATTTAAATTAATGAGAGGAAGAGTTGAGAAAATTTTTTAACTCAAAATACTGCAAGCATCTAAATTTTTGATTTCTATGCCAGCATTTGGTTATGTTTTGTAATACTGTAGTGCGTCAATTGTGGTTTAATATATTTTTTTTTGTGTGGATCATTCTTATTGTATGAAAGTGGTACTTCATATGAGGTCCTAACCAAAAGAATCTCCCAAATTGAAAGATATTGGTAGTTTGTGTTTCATACACAAATTATTTATTATTTAGTACATGATAAGATGTCATTCTGTGAAATAAGGCTGAATAGTGCAATCAGCAGGTATCTGGGACATCCACAATGAACTGTGGTTAAAGTTAGGACCAAGTGTTAATTTGCTGTAAGTAACAGTCATAAGATAAGACTGCAATATTAGTTTGTCTGCATTTAGAATCTTGTCTATGTTTCAGGAAGTTCCCCGTACAGACAGTGAAGTGCTCTAGCCTTGTGGAGCAGAAACATGTATCAAAGGAATTGCTAGAGGAGAATGCAAATTCTGCTTATCCTGTACTACATGAGACAGCACTATTCTTGTACATTCACTTTCTGGAACATAAGAAGCGACATGGAACATGTCCAGAGAATGCATTATATGCCAACATGGGTCTCCTTGATTTTGTACAGCGCCTGCTAGAGAAGAGATCTGCAACATTTTATGCTAAAAATGACAAATATCTCCTGGTCAATGGAACTCAGGGAATTAGTGGCTGGGAAGCAGTTGGATCAGTAATTTTCTTTTTTTATGGATTGACTGATTGCAAAATGTTTTTTACAAGATATTTTTGGTGCAAAAAATGCTGTTCAGTCTGTAATGATTTTCTGCTTTCAAATGAAACTTAAAATTGCAACTTCTTTTAGGGTCAGAGAAAACTGAAGAGACATTTGTTACAGTAGTTATCTTCACACTGTGAAGAAGAGGATATGAGTGCCCACAAAATTGTTGCACTGCAATGTTGAAGTTGAAATTGTTGATCTCATGCAGCTGAGGAAGGAAAGCCTCTGTTTTTCCCATCACACAATGTAAAACATAGTATAGATTGCTAAATTCAGACTGAGACACAAATAAAATATGAAATGAGGGAAATTACATTATGCAATAGCATATAGTAATTTTACCTTTCACCACGGAAGCTGTTGTCATTTTCTCACACATGCCCAAATACCCCACTTCTACATGGAAGAGTTAAATTCAGTTAGAATTTCAATAGGCGCTTACTGATTAGTATTTATATTAAGGAAATCAAATTATAAATACTTATTATAATAGGTCAAAGGTGAATAATTACAGTTTTTTTATATATTTGTAGGAAAATGAAAAATCTCCATTACTTCTTCCCTGCTGTCTGAGTTATGATGAAATGAAACTCTCAGCACTTCTATCAATATCTTCATGGAGTTATTTTATTAACGAGGGTACACGGGATAACAAGGGTGTCCCTCAAAATAAAACTCAGAGCTTTACAATCAGAGGTATCATCATTGGTCTTATTGGTGCTCGATTGAAACGAGTTGGACTCATGGAATGGCAAGAGGTACTGGTAACAAAGACACAGAACACTAAGGAGAATGGATATGGAGTACCGCCTGAAGTTGGATCTTCTGAGCAGAGTAATAAACAAGGCAAGTCTGCATCATTGCATGCAAGACAGACACTGTTCATATGTTTCAGTGAGCCTTACATATAGAACTCTGAATCAATCCCCGCAGCCAGTTATACTCTCAGGAGCTTCAGGTATTCTGTATGCTTATCATAGTGTGGAATGTCTTACAAGAAGATATTTACTTGTCCATATATTAATCCAGTGATTGGTGTCTTTTTTAAAGTAAAATTTTCCCTTAACTTCTTTACAAATAGTTGAATTTATTAGGATTCTGGGCCACATGCATGGACACATCATTTTTCAGTTAGGATCATCACAGTTTCTTGATTCTACTACTTTGACTATGCTATTATTGAAACTAGTTGTCTTTGGAGGTGACATTTCAGTTGCCATCACCTGAAACCATGGCCATGGAAATATTTTTTGTTTGTGGGTGCAGATCATAAAATCTCAAGGCACTTTTTGGTAGGGGATCTCTTTCACTTCCTGAAATCTGTTTTGAATACTTGCAATCTGGGGTATAGACAAAGTCACTAGGTACTGTTTTGCTTAATTTATAACACAAATGGTATTAAAATACCAGGCTGTCAATATTATTTCAATAAAATTAAAAATATACAAACTGTATACTATATATCACAGTTTGTAAGCAACCAATAATTTCAAAACAAATTTTTCACTCTGTCAGGCATATAAAAATGATTTACTTTGTGGGTAATCTTGTGACATTTCTGTGTAGAGTGTTTGTATTCTTGGAGAAAGCTCTGGGCCAAATTCTATGGAATAAAGCCACACCTTCCCCTGTTTGAGGATGTTGTCAAACTTTGTAAGTCGGGCAACAATGCTGCCATGAATCAATATAAACAGCTGAACAAGGACAGATTCTTTGACAACATAGCTTACAAGAAGCGAGTGACTGTCTCAATTGAGACACTTTTACTAGAGGTAAGAATAACCGTCAGTTGTATTTCTGTTGTAACTTTCACAGCATTTATGTATGGCTAGAAGTTATGGTAAAAAGTTACTGAAATTAACAAGGTTCTAAATTAAATCAAAGTTTGTTCTTCCAGTGGGTAGTTATTACAGATGAGCATGATGAAACATTTAGATGCTCATGTGTCATTTTAAAAATGCCTATAAGATTATGTTCTACCTCATCATGTTATGAAAATAAAGATGGCCAAGAAATTTTCAACAAATTCATTTTTCTCCCCAGAATATAGTTAACTGAATATTTATTTTACTGATTATATAATTATAATTATTTCATATGAATGAAGGGATTAGAATAATCATTAAGAAATTTAGTTGTTCTTGAATAAAGAATTTTGTATGTGAAAACTGGAGAATATAAAAACTTAATTATTCTTGTGATTTCACAGGCAGAAGCCAGAGCAGCTTCCATTGGGACTACAGCTTATATCCATGTGGTAGGAATTGGGCTTGGTGTTTGGCGTGCATCAGAACATCAGGAAAAGGAATTTCTGGAGGCATTTGCAGCCTGCCTTCGCAGGCTGCACTCTGTCCTTCAGCATGTTTCAGACATAAATTTTGCATGGTTTAAGGAACAGATGTGTGCTGAAACTTGGAAAGGAATCATGGAATCCAATGGAACAGGTATGTGGCACTCAATACTAATTAGAAAAAATATGGTCAGCTATTCACCTGGGACAAGTTGAGATTACAGGGTGGCAAGCAGTTATTTCAGGAAGGATATTTGGTGTATGAACTAAAGTACAGCCTTTTTGATATTTAGGATCACTGTGTTGATTGCCCCGAATCATTGTGAATCTGCTACAGTGATAAGGAGTGGTATTATATTCTCCTGCTATATTCATTCCAGGTCTTGGGATTCACATAATTTTTTCTAAGAGACCACCACATTCCAAACTGTCAGAACCTGAAGATGCTGGAAAACTTCTTGTTGTTTCATATGCATGGGATGGAAATGCTCTTCCTGGTAATGAGTTCTGGATTGGAAAACTCAGCTCAACTGGAGATTCAGCGGCTGCATGTTCAACACAGGTTAAGCTCATTTAAAATTCCACTTGACACAAAAATCTAATTGAAAACTTGCAAATTTATACAGTATGACCTGAATATACTACCTCATACAGTGAACAAGACTGTCAGTTTGGCAGTAAGAATGATAGGCAGGTTTGAAAAACTGTCATGTCCCACTCGAACTAAACCATTTATTTGCATTTGAAAATCATTATTCACTATTAACTCAAATCCAGAATCATAACATGGCCATATATGGAGAAAGAGCAGTTTTTGTGTTCTGAGGTCTATTAAAAGCTGATTAAGACTCAGTTTTAATTTTATGATGGGGAAAATTTAGTAAAATTTTTGAAAATATAATGGAAAAAATTATTATTGAAGAAGTTTAGTTTAATTTTTTTGAAGGTGAGTGTAATCAGAGCATTCTGCCAATTACTGTCATTTCAGTTATGCAGTCAAGGATTTTCAGTAAAAAAAATTGGCATCTGCAAAGAAAGCATCTAGACTGATTTTTATTGGAATAATTATCCTCTCATCTATGATTAGGTCTTTGAAATAGCCTCTTCTTTTCAAGTTTCTTGAAATTGATTATTCTCTTAATTCATATAGAATTTATTTCAGATACAGTAATAATGTCTATCAAAGAATTAGAAGTTGTATAACTTAAAACAAGCTTAATATTTTAAAATAAATGAGAAAACCTTAGAAACATGTATTCATACCAACTTTTTATCACACCAGGTGGCTGAACTGCATAACACACATGTGAACAAGAATAAAATCAGTAGTTCCAACCTTCATATAGCCAGTGCACAGTGGGGAATCCTGCATGTAGCAGAATATGTTCTGAAAAAACTTAAGAAGTGAAGCAGAAGTTATTGGTCTGTCATGTACAACACTGATGGTAATCTGAATCAGGGAGAAAATGGTTGAATCTGTAGAAGCTCCTGCATGAGTGACTCTTCATCATTATTATTATTGAAAAGACTTAATACAGCTGCATTAAATTTGTCAGTTATAACCTTATAGTTTCATGCCATAACAATGTTTGTATAAGTTTACTTAAAAACAATAGTTTATATATCATTTGTAGGAATAACTTTATTCTGTTTTCATGCAAAATGCATAATCCTAGTTCCAGTGGTCCATCAGTTATTGCTGTTAAACTTAAAACTAGATAAAAATTCTGCATTTTAAATTGTGCACAAAAAAATCACAAACAAAATTTGCATGTTTTTTGAGGATCTGTTACCACATCCATTTCAGAAACCTGTATTAGTGTTGTTCCAACCTCACAAGTTTATGCATTTGTCATCTTATTATTGATTCTTGGAAATTAAAACACAAGGTTGGAATAGTCTCAAGCGGCCTAACATTCATACCAAATTTCATGACTATCAGATGGTTCACAAGTTCAAGACAGTGAGGGACATACACAGACATTATGGTTACCTTATAAGCCTAAGAAATTCCAAGAAATACGTACATTTTATTTTCACTGGAAGTGCTGAAGCTACAGGCATTTCAGAAGGTAAATTTTATGGGTAAATTATTTATATTTCTTCATATTTCAGCAAATATACCATCTCAGGTAATAGGAAAAAATATACGTGTCAATGGATGGATCAATGAACAAAGAGGCACTTCCCACCATAAGACATTTGAACATTTATAACCACCAGAAATCTATAAATACTTGCAGATACAGACTATACATATTGTATTCTGCAAGTACAAATGTATGAAACAAAATACTGTATTGATACATATGAGGTATTAGCAACTTCTTAATATTCTTTGGTGAATGAAAATCATATGTGAGTCAAATTAAATTTTGGAACTGAATACTTTATTAAGTAAAGGTTTAATATCAAAATGGAAGTGAACGTGACCTTCCAGTGGCCTGAACTGCACTTTGTAGTAGAAGTTGCTGGCTGTATCTACCAATTTATGTGTTTGAAAGAAGTACACACCTTGTCTGGTGTGCATGTCCCATGCAACCTTTTTATTTATCTGTACAGTTTGTCTTGGTCCTGTTGAAATGGCATGCTTTAGGTTACCATCCAAATCCCAATCCACCCATAGGGCAATACCATGACATGTTCCACATCTGAAATTAGAAATAATATAAACTAATAGATGTACCTATCACATATGAAGCTGATACTGTAACAGGAGTATTATTTCCCAGTTTTTCAAAGTTAATTTTTTTTAAGTGTGTGATAATTGAAACACTGACTATAATGGTTTGTGATAACTAATATTGTTATGATATGATTTTATTTAAACATTATCTATTTTCTGAATAAGAAATTGTATGTTTTAGAGGCTGGATTTTAAAGACTATATTTTTTGTCATGTACAAATATGGTGTTTCATCAAAACCTTTTGAACGGCTTCTGAGATCAATGTGCCCATGTGACACAACTTCAACATAATATATTTTTTGATGCACTTCATGCAAAAAATACATAAAAAGTATGTATACCTGTATTCATAAAAAGCACTACTTTTAATGTTGACTATGTAACTCACTGAATTTATCCAATAATATATATACAGATATAAATTAAAACTTTGGTGTATGTTTCATGCATTGTTTGTTCTGTGGTTGTAAGCAATTTTTATTTTAAGATTGTAAGAACTTAGTTTATTAAAAAGTTTAACACTAGTTCTCTATTATTATTGGGCCTTCAGGCTGAAAAAAAAATACAGACCCTTCACAGTTAACCTTTCCTTCTGTCTCCACAGTATCTTCAATGTTTTTTGTGAAATTGAAATCCATCACGCAGAAAGGTTGAGTCAGCGCTTCACAATGATACTCCCATAACGGCTGTGCTTCAATTGGGCTATCTGAGATGGAACTTGAATTCTAGAAAAATAAGCAGAAACATAGCAGAAGGTATTGTGGAAACCTCAATATCAGAATATTAAATATTTTTTATAACTAAAGTATGGGAATGACCTCTTCTAATATCTCTTGATCAAATAAATATTTGTTGTTACTATTACTACTAATCACTACCACCACATGGATGTTATTTTCATTTGGAAGGCTGCATGTATGTTCTTTCTTTGATGCGCTTACAGACGCTATGGTTACCATTCTATACTAGCCAATGAAAATACCTTAAAAACCATGTGAATAAGAGGCCAAATTTTGTAAGCAAATGGAAAACATATTTTGGGCACTACCTTAAAAGTCAGGGGAAAAAAAAGGAAACAGTAAATAAGCAGAGGTATGAGTCTATATAGAGTAAACTTGACATTTGATGTTTCTTCGGCAGACAACATATTTGAACGCTCTTTAGGAAAACCTTTTTAACACAGGTAATATGACTGTGACAACAGTACACCTGAACTAACAATGCTGATTTAGTTTACCTCTTTGCTGTTATAAATTAAAGCAACATTTAACTGATATGCCTACTTCTAGTCACTTTGCTATACCTCAATCAGTTTATCAAATTCTGTCATTTTGAACCCCTCCACTGAATGAAGTGGTGCACGAATCTTCCAGAGGTCACTGAACTGCAGAGCCATTGCCCACACTGTTGCACCTACAGGTAAAGTTGCTGCAGATGGAGATAAGAACTGGGAAACTTCATTCTTCAGATACCAGAAGTAAATATTTTGCCATGGCAGCAATGTAGTAACAAAATGAGGTTCCCCAAAAACCAATGTAATCTGTGACACATTGAAAATGAACATAAAACTTCATACTGATTGGGCTATCCTGCCTCATAAGTATTTAAGTACTATATTATATATTTAAAACTGATCATGTACCAGTACTACAAAGTTTTGTATAAAATTACAATAGAAATTAATACTAGTGACATTACTCTAAATTTATTTTAAAAAGTAATTGTGCCAAGGCCATTTGCATAAACAAACAAGAAAGAAGTTAGTATTTGAAACACATTAAAATAATATTGCAAGTTTTATCTCCAATTTCTGGATCAGGTATTTTGATGACTCATGAAAATTAGCTTACTCTTTATTAAGAAAGAAAGCCTGTATTGAATTAACAACAATTAATACTGAAATCAATAACCAATTTATATGTAACATCCTTTCTGATTATTATAATGTGAAGTTAACGTGGAACATGAACAACATTCACTACAGACTTGAGAAGTTAATCAACGATGACACGAAAAAAGAATTTATAATTTCAGAACATGTTCAGGAAAGCAGTAGAATATAAGTAATTACTCTAAATTTGGAGTTATACATGGATCCCTAAGTAAATAACAACAGGATTCAACTGGGTACTTCTGAATGTGAGTAAGGCATATTAATGTTGGGCCAACCCACTTGTGCTGGTCTTATGATGTGTAATATTTGTTGTGGTTCTGCAATACAATACCTTATCATGTGTTTCCACAAGGGCCACAAGATCACGGACACTGCTCAGAACCACCACTTTATCTTGAAGATTATTGTGCTTGATGTAATCCTGAATTACGTGTCGTGTTAAGGTGTTGCCATCTATACAGTACACTCTCTTCGCACCAAGCTGTGCAGCAAGGGGACCTAACAAGGAACCATCACTCAAGCAAAGGCATATACTGTCCGATGTCACATATTCACGTAGAGCAGATACATATTTATAGTTTCGGTCTGCATCATTTATGGCACCAATACGTGTACGTCCAAATGCAATGTGCAATCCACAGTCACATACAGGACGCTTATAAAGCTGGTCCCCACACCTGAAGAGATAAAATTAAGTAGTAAATATGTTCATCTCTCATTATGATGCTAACAAATTGGACATTTTCTATAGCCTATCACCACAATGAATATTTACAAATAAAATTTATACATGTGGACAATTCGTGAATGCATATACAAGATGATGTCTTACATTATCAAAGTATGAAAAGTAGTGAAAACTGTCAAATGTTATAAGAAGACTAATCTGACCGGGCTACAACATACCACCACATAATACTGCCAACTGATAAGCTTTGGATTAAAATCATATTTTTGACAATGAAACATGCAGTAAAAGGTTAATGGAGAAACCTGGATATAG